GTTGTACCCTAATTTCACTAACTGCCAGTAGTTTTCTGGGATGATCTCAGTCTCATGAATCTCTTTAAAGAGAGGCCCAAAAAACTTAAGTGGTTACTTTTTGCAAGGTTATTTTATAGGAATTAGCAGTAGAGACAAGACTGTGTTGATTCCATCTGGCATCACTGGGAGATAACTTAGATGAAAGGCATCCCACCTTAGGTCCAGGTCCAGGTCCTGGTTCAGGACAGCTGCCACAAATGTGGCTAGTGCTAGAGGATCCTTTTCCAGTCTCAAGAATGGAAGCTGAGACTGTACCATTTATAGAAATTTTATTGTGAAGATCCTTACACCCAACAGCTTAAGGTGATGGGTTTTCACATGACTTTTTTCAAGTCTACAGCCAATGCCTTTAATACTCTTGAGCTTTGGAATAAAGTATGGGGTGAATGCATGTAATAGCACCAACTCTGCTTTCTCATTACTGGTGACCACCCAGGTCCTGCCTGCATCTATTCTTGCTCATCTTAGGGCTCCATCCATTACTTTGAAGCTGCAACCTGGCACTCTACTTCTCCCCACCTCTGCAGATGCCATGAAAGACTGTTACCACAGGTCTGGGGCTGCTGGCCATGCTTGGTACCTATGGGAGCCACCATGACTTCCAGTCACTGCCTCATTTCAGACACTTAAGATAGAAGTAAAGCTCCCACCTTAGTCCTACTGACACCTTCTAAGCAAAAGTGGAGCATTGTCTGGCAAAGCCTTATTGCTACCAAATGGGTGTGAAAATTTAGCTTCTCAATTGACCTTGCCAGCCCTAGTATTGGGTAGGAAGTAGTATGCTACACCTCACACCATGTTTTCTATTTTATTGCTATTGGATGGGATGGAAGCTCAGCTTCTCACCTGGCTTCACTGATCACTAGCAGGGAAAGTGAAGCACCAACTAGCATTGCTTTGGTCAAGCTTGTTGCTTTTGGATAGTGAAGGATGTTTGGATTGCAGCTAGGTTCATTTATGCTATGCAGATGGTTGCATCAGAATTTCTCCTCCTGTCGCTAGATATGAAGTGCAATCTCCACTTCACCCCACTGACATCACCCCTGTGAATGAATCAGGGTACCTCTTTCTACTATCAAGCAAGGTATGCAAATATAGCTCTCCACTTCTTGTTGCTGACACATGTGAGAAACAATTTTCCTCTAGTTTTTAACCATAGCAAGATGGGTATTATGCTTTAAAAAGTTTTGTAGTCTGCTAGAAAGTTTGTTTTATCTTTACCTTTTGGTAGTTTAAGTTTGTAGGCTTTCTCAATATCCCATGCGAGACATATTAGGAGGCAAGAAAGAAAGCCCATGAAACTCAACACTACATTGTCCTCGATTCCAGAGGATCCTAAGCAGCCTGTCTCCTTCTTTTCATCTTTCAGAGACTTCCAATGTTTATTTATCAAGTGATGTCCAGGATTTTTAGTCTTGAGAGGGAGAATGAAGGACGAGAGAAACTCTCATTCTTGGCTAAAACAAGATATCATTGCATTTAAATTTTTAAAAACTTCTCTGTTCACCTTATTGTGCTTGGCATCTGAGAAATTGCTCCTGCATCAGCATATATAAATGATCAACCAATGTTTGGGCAGAAGTTGGACTCAAACATCTCAAGTCAGTAAGGCTTCTGACTCCTACTGAGGCATCTGTGGTAAGTAGTAAAATGTGTTCTAATCTCAAACCATGTTCAAGTGTGCTCCAGTTTTCAATTTATCCAGTGATCTTTTGTGTATCCTATATGGATATGTGCAGTCTTCCAGGTGTGGATAACTTGGATTCTCTCCAATCTCTGCTATGCATTCTTGAAGAGTCAGTGTAGAATATACTTGCTTTAAGCATGACCAGAGTCTCAGGCTAGTAGAATCGTTGACCCTCTCTGCTTTCCTGCCACTGACAGTAATACTTCCATAACTATGCTACATGAGGTGGGTGTTGCTACTTGCTCACTACTGAGTGAGCACCCTTTGTGCAGCACAGTTGCTATTTTTTTTGGTCTGGTCCACTTTGGAATAACTTCTGCCTCAACCTTGCTGAGAAGAGAGCTGCTGATTGAAGAAGGCCTGTGTAAAACTGCCACAGTTTATCATTGTTCTTACATATTTTTAATACTCATATGTCTTTTCCCTGACTGACTTGCTTATGACTGGGATTTATGATACTGTGCAATTTCATGAAGAATAATAGTGGGGCATACTCTGTGTCTTCCTTGTCTTTGACAGATTATAGAACCTATTTGAATCTGGGTGTCCCAGTCTTTATTCTTGGAGGAGAAAGAATGAGACCCTTCCAACTTTAAAAAAAAAAACTGAGAAAAAACAATCCAATTGTGATCCCGTAGTCCCTGCCACTGAAACATTTTCTACAAATAAGCCAGATTTAGTTTTGTGTCAAAACAAGGACAGAGTAATATTTATGTTACTACAGAAAGTTGAATAAAAGGTTTGTCCAAAATGGAATAAAAAAAATTAACTATTGATATATGGGATAATTTGGATGGACCTAAAGGAAATTATACATAGTGAAAATAAAAGCCAATCTCAGAGATTATATACAGTATAAGTCCATTTGTCACTCTCGAAGTGATCAATCTGTAGAGGAGAACAGGTTAGTAGTTTCCTGAGAACAGAGATGAAAGTGAGAGGGGATGGGTATGACTACACAATAATAGTATAAGAGAGTTTATGGTAATGAAAGAATTCTGTATCCTGATTGTGGTTGTGGTTACATGAATATGTACATAACATTGAATTGCAAATATCTACTCATACACTCAATGTACATGTCAAACTGCTGAAACGGAGTAAGGTGTGTATGTATTTTAGTTAACATTATTGTACCGATATCGATTTTCTAGTTTTGCTATTGTCCTGCAGTTGTGGAATATGTGAGGAACTTGGGTGAAGAATTCAAGGGAATGGATATTACCGTTACAACTCCCTGTGACTAAAATTAAAAATTAAAAAATATACGTGCCTTTTCACAAGCACAAGTTCATCCATATGGGGAAATTCTAGCGTCATACTTTCTTGCAATGGTATCCCATTAACAGTAATTTTTCTTGCTGATTTGATTTTAGTCTGATAAAGGCAAAGACATATTGAGTCAGAGCAACCCAAGGTAATTTTTTATGAAATAAAAGATAATTCTATACTACATAATTTTTAATCAAAAAATCTAAATCAGTTAAATGTATTCTTTTTCTTTATGTCTATAAAATTTATAAATTAAATACTGATTATCTAAAAGGACTGAAAATGTTAAAAATGATCATAACAAATAAACTTTACTAAATTATGTATAAATTCTTATTAAAGCTAATATACCAGTTAAAGTAAATATAATTCACAAACATTTCAATGACATTAATTATATTTACATCTTTATAAATGACAGTAAAGTCTCCTTTCTCCTGTACTCTGTGGATTATATAATCCCCAATGAGAAGTTTACATTTACTATCATAAATTAGTCTGTAGACACTGGCATCATAATTTCTTCCCTGCAGAATTTATCACAATAGTGGAAGTCCTAGGGGAGACCTACTCATGAATTTCTTCCCTGCAGAATTTATCGCAATAGTGGAAGTCCTAGGGGAGACCTACTCATGAATTTCTAATAAAGTTCAGAAGAATTATAAACCTTAAGCAAATGCCATGTGTTCTATGACATGGTGCCTCTGGTGTTGTCTAGTTTTTCTTTATACCCTCTCGGCAAATTTATAGATAATAGTTTGATTTACACCTCAGAATGACTCCTGGAACCTTCAGATTGTGAGATCTATGCTTGATGCTTTTGCCAGTCAAGGGAGAAGAAGATTCTGTGCCCACATCTAGTCAGTTTTGATACTTCCAAATCCAGTTCTTCCTTTAGGACAGTGGAAGAGAAACACTCATAAAAGGTCAGCACTAGATTCTCTGAGTAAAAGGATGGTAAATTTACCAAGTTTCAATTTTTCTCTTTCTTGTATGTTGCTGAAAAATGAGGAAAATTATTATACTGAATAACAAGAAATTTAGCTGTATGGAGCTCTGACTCTACTGCCTGCATTTCTCTTATCTTCTATGTGTTGGCTTTATTTTCCATTTGGTAGCAAGACAACCATAGTGGTTCTAGGTGACACATCCAGAGTATAGAAAAATCAGGGAAGAAAAGGAGATTTGTCTCTTTCTTAAAAAATTAATGTGTTATATATAGATATAATATAATAAATATAATAAATTATTTATACATATAAGGAGTTTAAGTGTCATAAGAACCTAATTTGATAACTTTTTACAAACTTAGCAACTATTACAAACACACCCAAATTAATTATGCTTCTTTCATACCTTTAAACAAAGAACTGTGAAAGCCCATTTCCTTTCTCCTCTGTTTAGCTAGGATGGAATAGAAGAGAATATGTAGAAACACTGAAGTAATGGTTAACTATAAATCTTAGATATCAAGGATTTCTTCAATACATGGCATTAATTGTTGACTTCATGGAGTCTTAAAAAACAAACATAAATCGTATAGACTGTAAAGAATTCCCGCCTAGGAAGCAGAATAACATCATGGTCTTTTCCCTAAAGGAATCTTCTCTTGCTTCATGGTCATCATAGGGGAACTGAAGTGTTAGGTAGAATAATGAAACATGAGTAGGAACTAGGAAATGAAGGGACAGATGAATGGAGAAAAACACGGGAGACACATTCTTACAACAAAAGTTCATCAGTAGGTAGGCTTGTATCTCAGGTACTCCACCTCTCTATTTTCTAGTAAGGACAAGAGCAGTTGTTTGTTACATTTAGTTCTTGCAGACAAAAGACAGAGTGATTGAGATGTTGAGAGGTTGGTGTGACAGTACATTCAGACCCCATGAAACAAAGGAGAACTGAACCTGGATTCTTCAAGTCTGAGTCCCATAAATGAGTTTGTAGAAAGAGATCTGGGTTCTCTGTTAATGGAATTTTCTTCTGTCCTTCCAGATTTTTGAAGATGAAAATCCTGGCTAGAAATGAGTCCACAGTGACTGAATTTATTCTTGCTGGATTAACAGATTGTCCGGAGCTCCAGCAACCTTTCTTTTACCTGTTTCTAGTAATCTACATTGTTACCATGGTAGGCAACCTTGGTTTGATCACACTTATTGGTCTAAATTCTCATCTCCACACCCCCATGTATTATTTACTCTTCAATCTTTCTTTCATTGATCTCTGTTACTCTTCTGTTTTCACTCCCAAAATGCTGATGAACTTTGTATTAAAAAAGAATATCATCTCTTATGTCGGGTGCATGACTCAGCTGTTTTTCTTTCTCTTTTTTGTCATATCTGAATGCTATATGCTGACCTCAATGGCCTATGATCGCTATGTGGCCATCTGTAATCCATTGCTGTATAAGATCACCATGACTGATCAGATATGTTTTATGCTAACTTTTGCTGCTTACATAATGGGATTTGCTGGAGCCACTGTCCACACAGGCTGCATGCTTAGACTAACCTTCTGCAATGCTAACACCATCAACCATTACTTGTGTGACATACTCCCCCTCCTCCAACTTTCTTGTACCAGCACCTATGTCAATGAGGTAGTAGTTCTCATTGTTGTGGGTATTAATATCACAGTACCCAGTTTTACCATTCTAATTTCTTACATTTTTATCCTTACTAGCATTCTTCATATAAAATCCTCTCAAGGAAGATCAAAAGCTTTCAGTACTTGTAGCTCTCACGTCATTGCTCTTTCTCTCTTTTTTGGATCAGCAGCACTCATGTATCTTAAGTATTCTTCTGGATCTATGGAGCAGGGAAAAGTTTCTTCTGTTTTCTATACTAATGTGGGGCCTATGCTCAATCCCTTAGTCTACAGTTTGAGGAACAAAGATGTTAAAGTTGCACTGAGAAAAACTCTGATTAAAATTCAGAGGAGAAATATATTCTAATTAGAAGTAGGAATATGCTTTATCATGTCCCTTACAGATATTCTTCTCTTGTTTTTTTGTTTCTGTATCTCTGACACTTCTCAAATAAGTAATAGCATGTTTGTTAAAGGAACATATGAACTGACTAATATTTTTCATTATTGTTTCATACCATTTCTGTCTCCCAGGTTATTTTTGGTCTAGACAAATATGGTGAATTTTGTAAGCTACAAAAAAAAAAAAGTAAAAATTACAACTTTCTCGCCTAAACACAGAAGTGCTAAATATAATGGAAACAGTCTCATTTTTATCAATATTGTTACTAGTATGGGCAGCAGGATTACATGAAATGTCTTCATTATAAATTGTATGAAGCTTAGAGTAAAATCACTTCCCCTTGATCTTGTCCTTTTGTTCTATTTCCCCTCCCACCATATTTCCTTTTATTATTCTGGCTATTCTTCCTTCCTTTGAGTATGACAAAATCTACCATATCACCTGCTTCTGAGAACTTCAATCAGCCCACTCCATTTAATTGTGCAGATAATATATATAACTCTATTTTTTACTTCCAAAGTCAGCACTAACAGAGAATGATTAGAGAAATAATACACATGTATCTTAGAATTCTAATAAGGAAACAGTGCAGTTTACATTATAAAACTTTCATTTATTACTATCTAAAATGGCATCAAAAAAGTTGCACTGAGAAAAACTCTGATTAAAATTTGAAATAAAGCATATAGTTCCTATTGTAAATGCTATTTTTTATTTTTTATAGGTAAATACTGCACATTATTAGTAGAAATATTTTATCCAATGTTTTACTTACCCAATACATTTATTTTAAAAATGTATTAATTATAATAAACTATATTCCCACAAATATTTTGTGAGCTTACTTAAACTTTATCTCACCAATATGACATGAAACATATTTAACATATAAATAATTTCTTATAATCCCTATGTTTCTTCAATACTTTTCCTGTTTATATATTTAGAATGTCAGATATATTGTGAAATCAAGAAATGCTTGTTGAATTAGAGTACCTTGTTTAATAACATCTATAATATATTAATAATAATAAATAACTAATAACATAATACATAACATCTGTTATGTGTCAGCAAAACTTTGGGGGTTAATTTATATTTTTGGAGGTGGACTGTAGCAACCTTAGAGAAGTGCTGCTCAGCTTCTCATCGAGAGAACTGGCAGTGGGAGCATGGTTGACAAAGTCTATAGCTGCCATTCCTTTGGATTCGTCATGGTGTTCAGGCAGAGTCCATCTTTACTCTGAGATGCTTTTAGCAATTTAACATGGGTTTCTTCTAATAGACCGACTTCCTATCATATTACCAAGACTTCTTAGAATTGCTTGTGGTTTGAGATTTTCCTATCCAATTCTTCCATTTCTCGCTAATTTCTTAGGCGTCAGACTTTCATCCTGGTCTGAGGCCTTTGTCATGAACTCACACTCCTTCCCATTTTATCCTTCATTGGCATTTGCCACAATAAACGTATTAATAAGTCGAATGATTTCTTAGCAAATGGCCTAAGACAATGGGAGTTCTGTAATTTGAGGTAAGCAGGGGTTTCATGACCACCCACAGGGTTTTTTTTTTTTTTTTTACCGCCTATTAGGTTGCTGATTCACTGTCAACTTCCAAGTGAAAGCTTTTAGGTTTTTAGCACGTTTGACAGTTTGCCTTTAATGAGGTTTTCAGAAGCATCTCACAGGTCAGGTTTCCATCGGACTAACATGCCAGAACTGACAACTATAAGGCTGTGATAATCAAGACAAATTAGTTTTGTTATAAAGATAGATGAATAATTCATGGGACAGAATAGAGAATTCAGAAACAGATTTTCATGAATACAGTTAATTGATTGTTGACCAAGCAAAAAGTAATCCCATAGGGAAAGAAAAATCTTTCAAGCTGTTGATACTAGAAATACTGTCTATCCATAAGGAAAACAATGAACTTTGACTTCTACCTTACACCACACATAAAAATTAATCTAAAATGGATCAAAATCATACACAAAAAGCTTAAACTGTACATCTTCTGGAAGAAAGCATTCAAAGTGTGTTAATGTATGTATGCATTTATTTGTCAGAAATATTCTAGAAAGCACTAGACCCCAAAAGGAATAAAAGATAAAAAAGCTTCATATAAATTAGAACATCCATTAATTAATTAATGTTGTATTTCAAAGATGTGGGGTACAATTCAGTATTATTTATACAAGCGGTCATCATACAGGTAAAGTTTGAGCCTCCCTTTGGTTCTCACTTTTCCTGGTTTGAGATCAGGCACCCTTATTGATGTTATGTGCCCCGCCTTCCCTCCCCTGGCAGTTTCCCACTACTGCCAGTTCCTTTCTTATAGTATTATGATAAATGTTCAGGGTCCACTTATGAGTAAGAACATGTGGTGCTCAGTTCTTTGTTTCTGTGATAGATCATTATTATAGACTCTAAATCCATCCAAGTTTGTTGCAAAGGCCATAATTTTGTTCTTCTTTATGACTATGTAGTGTTCTATCATGTGGATAGCTACATTTCTTTCTATCCTGTACACGTTCAATGGGCAGCATGGTTTTTGCTATTGTGAATAAACATGCATGTGCAGGTATCTTTTTTATAGAACGATTTGAGTTCCTCCAGGTATATTCCAAGAAGAGAGATTACTAGGTCATGTGGAAGATTGATTTTCAGATTTTTTTAAGGAATCACCACACTGTTTTCCACAGAGTACTATTTTATACTCCCACCAACAGTGTAGAGGTGTTCCCTTTTCCCTACATCCTCTCCAGTATCTGTCGTTTTTTGAGTTATTGGTGATGGTCCTCCTGATTGCATTTCTTTGATGACAAGTGAGGCTGAGCATTTTTTCATGTATCTGTTGGCAACTTGTATGTCTTCCTTCAGGAAGTGTCTATTCCTATCTTTTGCCCACTTTGTAATAGGGCTGTTTGTTTTTTTGTCCTTTCTGCACACTTGAGTTCCTTGTAGATTCTGAATATTAGACCTTTGTCAGATATACAGTTAGCAAATATTTTTTCCTGTTTTGTGGACTGTCTCCCCACTCTCTTGATGGTTTCTTTTGCTTTATAGAAGTTTTTCAGTTTGATGAGTTCCCAGTTGTCTACCTTATCTCTTATGGCATGGGCATTTGGGGGTTTGACCTGGAACTGGTTGTCTATTCCAATTTCTGTTAGAGTGTCTTCTGCATTTTTAAGATTCTTAAAGTGTGGGATTGTATGTTTAGGTCTTTAATCCATTTAGAGTTGATTTTTGTATATGGTGATGATGTGGATTTTTATCAGGTCAGTCTGGCCTCTGAGAGCGTCAGCTCAATGTGTTGGCAAGCCAAGCCCCAAAGAATGTTAGCTCAATGGGTTAGCAGGCCTATCCCCAAGAGTGTTGGCTCTACTGGGTTGGCAAGCCAAGCCCTGAGAGTGTTGTTGTTTCAGTGGGCTGGCAAGGATGATGACTGGTCTGACTACTTTCTGCTGATCATGGACTTCATATGGAGACAGCAGTTAGGGATCCTCCAGAGGATGATGTGATCTAAAGGTTCTCGGTAGTAGTAAACTTATATGCATCACCATTTGGAGCTTGATGGCCTCTAGGCAAGAAGAACCAAATTTTACAAGGAGGTTAACTATACATGGTCCAAACACAAGCAATACAATGAAAGGAGCTAATAATTCATTTGTGATTGCTGATGTGAATTCACGTCATTTCAAATTCTATTCCTGGTTAATGTTGGTATGAATTTACATCTTTGCCAATTCTGTTTCTGAATGCTTCAGTGTTGTCATATGCATGTGTTATTATATTTTGCTTGAAAAATGAATAGTCAGGCAAGGAGAAAGAAAGTTAATTGAGATAGTTATCTGATATTGACTGTGCAATATTGTTATTGTTTTACATAGTTGGTAAGAATTGCAAGTTTGTCACTATTTTGTTGTGATTAGTGTTGTATGCTTGTATTTTGATATTTCAGGGCTTTTATACTACAACATTAAAAATAATTTACCATAATTATGGAAAATGAAGAAATATATGCTGATGAGATTTCCAAGGTTGAAGGTGAATTCAGTGAACTTATTAGTGATAGTGAGACAGATGGTGATATAATGTAAATGAAGAAATATAATGCAGATAATCTCTGACAGTGAATCTAGTACTGGTGAGAATAAATCAGACATTGGACAAAATATGATCCAAAAAGAAACTTAGAAGTGTTTATTGGTAATCCAGATGCCAAGGTATTTCCAAATGATCCTCAAAGTGTAAGTGAAGTTGTTGAACTAATATTGGAGATGATTTTATAGAAATGATTGCAACTGAAACTAATAGGTATTGTAATCAGATGCACCACAGATAAATGTTCAAAGAAATTTTTTAAAAAAGGAACAACACTATAGTGTCTGATATAAAAAAATTCTAACATTAAATATTTTGATTGGACAAATGAAGAAAACCATAACACATGATTATTGGTCAACCCATCCATCAATTGCAAAGCCTTTCTTTTCAAAAATAATAACATGAAATAGATTCTTACAAATCTTGCAGTTTTTCCATTTTTCTGATAATACAGAAATGCAGTCAAATCCAAGCAGACTATGCAAAATTGAACCCATAATAAGTTATGTTTTAAATAAGTTCAATGCTGTGTATAGACCTGAGCAAGAACTTTCCTTGGATGAATTCATGATAACTCATTGTGAAAGACTGCTTTTTCAGGTTTATAATCTGAATTAAAAATACAAAGTATGGAATGCTAGCCAGAGTGGTGTCTGAGGCAAACACTGGATATGTTTGCAGCTTCCAGTTTTATTGTGAAAAACATGACAATTTAGAGAAGAACATTTCACTTGTGCTTAACAAAAGAAGTTTGCAGCAAACAGCTTCAGTTTTTTTTTTCCATCTGCTCTCAGTATTAAGAAAGTAAAAAATTTGCCAATTGTAAATGTGTAAGGGAAAAATCCATGTCCATAT